TTTACACATCAAACTTCTCAGTACAGCCTGGAGGCACAGCGACCCAAACACTTCAGTCCACATAGGATGTAAAAGATTAAGAATGGATGTGACTCTTCCGGTGCATTATTTAAGTCCAGAAGATGCTTGGCCTTCAATATGAATGAACACAGAGGCGTTACAGGGGCGAGACAGGATCAGCTGAGCTAGCAGGGAAGCACAGCGCTGTTTGTGTGTGTGTGCTGTGGAGATCCCGCAGTGCTGTGTTTTCCACAACTTAAAAATGCAATGTAAATTCACAGACTGGGACCACCAATATTACGCCGTCATGGAATAGAAATGCATAAATATGCATGCTACATATCTAGTGTCTTTGAAAGACATGCACAATGCCAGGAGAAACATCAGGCAGGTAGACACACAAGCAAAATGATGGACACGGACTGACAAGAGAGGCAGCCAAAGGCAGCCGGCGTGCAGACAGAGCAAGAAGGAGGGCAGTAATTAAGACTACCTCAGGACAGAGTTAGATACTTATGTCATCCATGTGACATGAGAACACTCTCCAGGAACTTAGACAATCAGTGGGTGCATTCTTCATAAAGTATAGAAAGTCAAAAGACTGATAAGACATGAGGGAAAAGTAAGACAGGCTTTGGGAGGGAAATCTGTGATCAGAGGTCAGACGCAGGAAGATTATGTTGAAGGGCAACGTTTAAGAACTAGGAGTGTGCAATATCTTTGGAATGAAAAGGATCTCCCTATATCAGTTTCTGAGAGTGCCAAGCCTGGGAATGGCTGCATATCTCACACACATACTGATGTAAAACATATGATCTGCTACAGACAGGACTGAAGCACACAGGCTCCGTCCAAGTAGACGTTATCTTCTTGAAATGGATATACAGACAAGCTAAGCACTTCAGAAGGCGAAAGATCTTCAAGAGCTTTAACCAATGTGAGTTTGGGGACTCAGGACAACCATGACATCGTTTCTGGGAGGAAAGGATTTAAAATACTCTGTCCTTAAGTCACAAAAGTTGACTGCATTTTTGAGCTGTTTTTTTTTAAGATCAAGATTTTATGAAACACAATTCAGTTGTAATATCTTACACTGTGTTAAGACTCAGTACTTTGAAAGCATCCATATCGTTCTTTAACTATGCCATAGGGTGTACTCATAACATGTCTCCTTTTCTCTCTCATCCATCAAGTTTGGGGGGGGGGGGGTGAAAGGTCATGTGTAGAACAGGGAAGTACAGGAGTCACTTCTAATGGTATAGTGTGTACTGCTTTGATCTTTCAGGTGACAGGTCAAACGGCACATATGTCTGTGCATCACTGCAACACCATGTCTTCAGGTTAGTAGTAGCACTTCTCTGGTTAGGACTCTTGAAGCATGAAAGTTACGGGAACAAAAGAAGGAAAAGTAAAAGAAGGGAAAATGGGAACAGAAGCCTGATGGGTACGATATTTGTCCATTTATTCACACAAGTCACAAGTCTGTCCCAACATGTGTTTCTTTGTCCTCAAGTCATAATAATGATTGAAATCACGAGAATACCAAGCACAAGGCATGGACACATGTCTGCTAACTCACAAGAATGAACCCACAGAATTCTGACAGACGATGCATCATGTCCAATAATCGACTTGTTGAATCATGTCTCAACATAGAAGGACCATCACGATTTATCATCCCCTGTGATGATGAAGCAGTGTTTGTCACTGCAACTTTCACAAGTGGGAAAGTTCAGCAAGTACATCAGCAGATTGAATTATATCCTGATCTGGATTTTAAAAGTCAGCACAGCGCTCTTGTGTCACATGTACGAATCTAGTTATGTATATTAAGAGAGGGAGAAGTGAAAGGAAGTTGAGAAATTATTGAAGGAGGAGAGAGGGGGGTGGACAAGACCAAAAAATCTTGAAAAGCTGAGCTATGCAAGTCCTCAAACTGGATAAAGAGACAAAGCAAAGACATGTAAGCTTGGAAAAAAAAACCTCATGGGGGGAAAAAAAAAGAAAAGGACAGGGATAAGGGAAGAGAGGGGGTGGGGGTGGGGGTGGGTGTGTGAATGGGTACGTGTAGCAGCATGTCGTCACAGACACTCAGGGTATAAGTAAAGATCACAGCCAGGCTGGAAAAAGACCAATTCATCTTCAATCATTTCTAATCTTTTAAGTAAGAATCCGCGGTGTTACATTTCTACATGATATAACACAGCTCCACCTATAGCTAGTTAGAGCACGTTTAAACTTTGGCCGTTGTCAACCCCACCTTTAATGTAGATGTTTCCTGGGAATAAAAACACAAGAGCATGTTAGTTGATGCCTTTGGTATAACAGGAAGCAGTCAATTTGAGTATGTCAGTAGACTGATCAGTCTGATATTAACATTGAACTGTAACTGTACTGATGATGCTACAGGGAGGATGGTTGATGTTATGAACTGAAAGGTCAGCCTGGTTCCTTGGGATCAAATTCAGCTTTCTTTGAGATTTTTTTTTTTTTTTTACCAACGTCAAAAGTCAAGTCAGGAAAAAACACCTTGCTTTTCATCTCAATTTGATTATCACTTTTTTTTAGATTAATGAAGCCAATGCATGGTGACATTACAGAACAAACTGTGCATGAAGTGTTTCTTGGGGCACCCTGCAGGCTTGCCTTGATAAGTCAAAAATCACACACCTGTCTCTGAATTGACAGATCTGGGTATGAACCCAGACACAAAGTACAGCAAGAGAGAGGACAAGGACAATTTGCACAAAGTTGTGGCTAGCCGAGCATATCAAGCAGGTGTAACTTGGTAACTTGGGGGAGTTATCAGGGCATTCTTGAGTTTCAGCAGAGTGCTAGAAAAAACATTCTCAGGCCTTCTTTCCTCCTCAGTCAAAAACACCTGTTTGCTTATTCCACAGATGTAAAGTAAAGCCTTGTTAAAAAAAAGGATGCAAGGAAAATATGTGTCACTCTATTTTGCGTGTACAGCCAAGAAAAATCAAGCTCTATTTGAATAAATCAGCAGTCTTCACCCTAAAGGATCCGGGGTTAAGCAGGAAAGGCAGCAGAGCTAATGCACCCGGATCAATCTCACCACTCAAAGACAGAGAATGTCAATATTAATGCGAGTAGCTATAATGAGCAGCTAGAACTGATGATGCACAGGAGAAGTGTGGTGTTTGTACATCACACTACGATTCTTCATGGGTTCAAACGGTTTAAACCAAAAAAGACAAAGAGCCAAATTCAGCAACAAAAAAAAAAACAACGCAGATGAATAGAAAAATAACTTCCTGAATGAGCTATTGTGAAAAAGCAGCACATGGCACTTATAACAGATCAGTGGAGTTAAAACCAGAACTTAGAATAAGTATAATTTTGTCCTAGTCCTACCTAGGTCGGATCTCTCATAGTCATATAGAACTATGTCAAAAACATGGAAACAATCAGAGTCTTGTCTCTCTCTTTCTTTGTCAAGGAGCCATTAGTCCACCAATTCCCCAGGCCTTCCTCTACCGAAAGCAACGGGTTGAAAGGTCAAGACTTCATTGGTAATGGTTACCTAACACTTGACATAAGGTTAAGCCACCAAGAAAGGGGGGTTTGGAGTAAGTCCTTCTTTTTAATTAGGTCAGAATATGTGCTTGTATTTTATTGCAAGTGTGCATTTGGCTACAAAACATAAAGAACGCTAATTCCCTTTAGGGCCATCGTGAGGTCACTGTTGTCAAGGATACGGCAAGAGCTGTCAGCTGTTAATGACAAATATTAATGAAGTGGTAGTGTAGGGGGGCAGTTAGGCCTATACCTAATGTGGTCAGTCGCTTCACCCCCCCCCCTCCTACTCTGCAGGTTATCTGTGACAGAAATGAAACACACAGAAAGGGATGGTCTATCTCAGCACTACTCGTGAAGTGACCCGGCACCTCTTCAAAACCAGACCAACTTCCATACTTTGGTCCGCACCGGTTCCCATCCCAAGTCCCCACAGAGTGAAGTGAATGTGAATTGGGAGTTTAACTGACAGAGAGATATAAAGATTAAGAAAAGTATTAAAAAGAAAAAAAATAATGAATAAAGAGGGTTGAGCAACAAGCTGTCAGTGAGCGACAAGGTAGTTATTCTGTCAGAGTGTTATATTTATTGTGCCTTTCAGATTGCCTGATTCATTTCACTGTGCCTTCTTGCAGAGAGAGAGAGAGAGAGAGAGAGACAGAGAGAGAGAGAAAGAGAGTCTGTGTGTGTGTGTTTTACCTTGCCAGATTAGGTGTGAATGATCAAGTGTTTGCATTCGTCTAATCTTTAACTTAGAAGAACAAAGTCTGCCTTAATAGTGAAAAAAAAAGAACCTTTACACAAATTCTTTCTGCATGACCTTCTAAATGAACCCACTTGGCCTTGAGATCCATCAGAACCTGTTTTACAAAAAGCTCAGTCTATATCCACAAACAACATGTAGGACCTAACGCCTTTCTTTAAGATATCTGAAGGTTTTTCAAAACTTGAAAACTGAGTGAGGAATTGTCATTAGTTACCACACATGACAATTCCTTCCAGGGGCCTGTCATTGTCGAGGTCCCTGCTTAATACAGAAATAGAAAAGGAGCATACTCGACAGTAAACACAGTTTCAGGTGCACTAAAAAGACTAAAAAGAGACAGAAACGTCATATGAGGGTACACTACTATTTGCACCTTTTTTTTTTATCTCAACCAACTGCTTGCACACAATACATTTATCACCCAAATGGCACAAAAGAAGCCTAACCGGATTCTGCAAAGGGCCTACAGCCAACACTCTCTGAACACACAGTCAACACCAACTGTGTTGGTCTCTACTCAACTCAAAATTGCAATCGCAATCTGCAGTGTGATGATGTGAAACATGTGGCGATTTAAGTTAACATCTTTATCACATTTATTTTGCATGTAATGACAAATGTTGCTGGCATGAAAAGTGGAAATCAAAGAAAAACATCATGTGTGTAGATGAATTTAATTTAAATAAAGAAATCTTACCTGAGACAGAGATGGTCATGGGTGCTTCCAGGGGCCTGTCATTGTCGAGGTCCCTGCTTAATCTCAGATCCCCAGTGTCTTCATTCAACAGCAGCAAACTTAGCTCGTTCCCAGATTCAAACTTGTACCGTAGCTTATCCGACACATCCGGGTCATGAGCTGGTACCTTCCCTATTATTCCCGATGGAAAACTGTTGGACTTGTTGGTGACGTAGTTGTTGAAAATAATCTCAAAGTTTTGCAGCACTGGCTTATTGTCATTCATGTCCACAAGACGGATGTGCACCGTGGCCCGACTCACCAGTGGTGCCGAGGTGGCCTGGACCACAATGACATACTCCGTTTCAGTTTCATAATCCAGGTCTGTGAGGGCAGTGAGGTCGCCGTTGAAAATATCCAGCTGGAAAACTTCTGGAACATTCCCCTCCACAATCTGGTACATGATCTGAGCGTTGGTGCCCTCATCCGGGTCCAAAGCAGTGATCCGGGCTACAACTGAACCCACCTGGCTGTTCTCCTTCACGTCAATGAACAACTCGTCCCTCTCAAAAACGGGAGCGTTGTCGTTTATGTCTTGGACAACCACGTGAATAGGAACAACCGCCTTCAGTGGCGGGACCCCCCTGTCCACAGCGTAGGCCTTTAGATTGTAAACAGGAACGTTCTCCCGGTCCAGTTTGCGAGCAGTTCTGATGATGCCAGAGTACGGCTCTATAAAGAAGTCTCCCTCTCCATCATCCCCACCCTGAAACGTGTAGCTCAACCTGCCGTTTGAGCCGGAGTCTCTATCTGAGGCCGAGATCTGGAGAACACTAGTGTAGACAGGTGCATCTTCAAAAACAGCCCCTTGGTAATTATCCCTAAGAAACTGAGGGGTGTTATCATTAGCATCCTGAATGATAATTTCCACATAAGTGGTATCAGATTTCTGAGGGATCCCATTGTCTCTGGCTATGATGGCTAATGTATAGGAGGCCTGGTCTTCATAATCAATCTCCATTTGTGTCGTAATGGCACCTGTATCTGGGTCAATTTTAAACTGAGGAACATTATCCTCCATTTCATATGTGATGCGAGCATTTTCTCCCGTGTCCTCGTCTGTTGCACTGATTACAACAACCGTGTAGCCAACTGGTCTTTCTTCACCGAGCAGAACCTGGTAGTTCGCACTTTGGAAGACAGGCCGGTGTGTGTTGGCATCCGTCACATTGATGAACACCTGAGTGGTGTCGTAGCGCGTCCCATCACTGGCAGTAACCGTTAGCACATACTGGCGCTCCTGCTTGTAGTCCAAGGGGAGGGCTAAAGTGATGAGGCCGCCTCCACTCTGGCTAGTGATGGCAAAGCGGTTTCTGGTGTTGCCACTGGAGATCTGATAGGTCACCACGCTGTTGACGTCCCTGTCCACGGCTGTCACTGCCAGGACACTGGACCCCACCACAGCGTCTTCGTTAATCTTCAGCGCATAGGTCTTCTCTGTGAACGTCGGTACGTTGTCATTCACATCGAGCACTGTGATGCTGACGCTGGCTGAGGAGGACATCACAGGTACCCCGTGATCTCTGGCCTCCACGCCAAAGGTGTAGAACTCAGTGGTCTCCCTGTCCAGCTCGTCGCTAACTGTTATCCAGCCTGTGCTGTTATTAATTGTGAATGGAAAACCAGGCGCGGTGCCAGTTAAACGATATTCCAGAAGAGCGTTTTCCCCTGAGTCGCTGTCAATTGCTTGAATATGAATCACCGAGTAACCAATTGCCACGTTTTCCAAAACAGTCGCTTGGAATGGCGTACTGACAAACATGGGGGCATTATCGTTGACGTCCACTACTTGCACCACCACCATCCCGGTGCCATTTATCAGAGGAGGCCTTCCACCATCCTGAGCCTTTATTCTTAGATTATACTCACGAATCATCTCATAGTCCAGAGGATTGATGACATCAATTACACCGGTGGGAGAGTGAATGTAAAACTGTCCTTTGACATTGCCACTGATGATGCTGTAATGAACTTTAGCGTTATTCCCCTCATCTTTATCTGTAGCTTCCACCTGGGCGACTTTAGTGTTGATTGCGACATTCTCTGGAATCTGCACAGTGTACCTCTTCTGACTGAACTGTGGGTAGTTGTCATTTTCGTCCTCAACAGAGATATTGACAGTGGCAGTGGCACTGCGAGGACCTGGCTCCTTACCCTGGTCATTGGCTTCTACAATAAGCTGGTATTTGGCTCGGGTCTCCCTGTCAGGCTTCTCTCTAATCTTCACCAGTCCATTCCGGGGGTCGATTTCAAACACAGAGTTAACTCCATTGCCATTAGAAATTTTGTAAATCATGTTGGCGTTGGAGGGAGCATCCCCATCAGTGGCCCTGATTGTCATCACTTCATACCCCACTTCAACATTCTCCCGGATTTTAACACGGTATTCAGTTTGCTCAAACACAGGGTTGTGGTCATTAGTGTCACTTACAGTGACAGTGAGGTAAGAATTGGCGGATCTCCTCGGAGAGCCATTGTCAGTTACAGTGACTTTGAAGAGATGGGTGTCTTTGACTTCCCTGTCTAGTGACTGGGCGGTGGTTATGCTCCCTGTCTGAGAGTCAATGTGAAAAAACTCCTTCGATCTGCTGTCAAACAAGGCGTCTATGCTGTACTCCAGCCTCCCTGCCTCTCCATCATCCGGGTCAGTGGCTTTCAGTGTGATGACCCGCGTGCCCGTGGGCTCATTCTCGGGCACGGACACCTGATAGTTGGGGAGCTGGAACTGGGGAGGCGCGTTTGCCTGTCGCTTCCCCGGCGGATCAATGTGTCAGACTTTCTCCTGACATGTTCTGAGAGGGATCCATGCGGTCCATTCACTTTGACGAGAGTCAGATTGAGCCGCACGGAGAGCCTGCCGCCTGGAGAGCTGTGCAACGCGCAGAGCAAATTCACCTCGGATTGTCCTGTGTTCTCAAAACAGAAGTCACTGGACAAGAACAAATCCCCATTTCTGAACACTGCGCTCAACTCTTCCCCTGCACACAAACTGTCCAAAAAGACGGCGTTCCGCGTAAAGGCAGGCAAAAGTTCTGTTACACTCAAAAGCAATCTACCTGCAGGTAAGCAGGAAGTTGCCTTCAGTTTTGAAAGGTATTTAACTTGAATATCTGGCTTCTTACCTGGCGCGTTCTTTCTCTTGTATTTTATAAAACAGTCCTGGCCGTGGACGAACACATTAAACTGTGTCAGAATTACGTTTCCAGATGTTGTGGAACATGTTCTAAAATAAACAACTGCAGGGCTCCTCGACGTGAGCGCACACCGGACTCTGTGGGACACACGGACAACCCCACCGTGCCTCTCAACATCAAAAAACCCTTGGATGAAGTTATTAGACAAAGTCCTGTCGATTTTATATGTCCAACCAGGGCCGAGCGACAAGTTTGCCAAAAGGGTCCCGGGCTGTAAAGTATCCGAAAGGTGTATCTCCAAACATCCCGCAAGCGGCACACTGAACAGGACACAGACCAACATCCAATATATCGATAGCTCCATACTTCCAAAGAAGCCAAATCCCTTTCAACTTCACCGAAAGTCCTCTGCAAAGGCATTAACTCTCCCTCTCCCAACACAGCGTTTTGCTCGTATCCCTCATTGTGACGCTTTAACGATGAAAGAGTCGCGTTCTATCCATGGTGTCAGTATATCCACTGTGCGCAGAGGCTCCGTTAACACACACTGAGTTTGAAATGAGTACAAAATGGCTCCGTGGCTCTCCTCCTCCTCCGCCTCCTCCTCCTCAACATCTCAGAGGCTTATTACCATAAACCTGCTGTGTTCCCGCTCTGGGACGCATTCACAAGGGGGGCTTTTTTTTTTTTTCACATGGAGATTTGGGAAGTGGCACTGGGTGACCAATACGCGCAAGTGCATTGTTATTACAATAGGGTGAGCGCTCTTATTGCGTGTTCGGGTGTTGCTCCATCTGCAACCTCTGCTCCTTGATGTAATGGTTAGCAGTAAAGAAACTTGAAAAAGCAGTTGTTAACTTCAGTCCACATCTTGATTTGTTCTTTTTCTTATGTTGAATGTTGTAACCTCTGAGTCACACAACTTCTGGCACCACCAACTTCTCTTTTAACGTTATAAAGAAAATGCTGTAGGTTTAACTTTAATTATTCCCACTGCATAGGAATGTCACTCCTTTATCAGCCACATTTTTGCAAGGTAATGTACACTTTTGTATTATATTATATATGACCGTGTTTCCTGATCAGTGTGTTCTTTGGTGGGATTGTTGAATGGTCATGGTCACCAAGTTGTATGTACTATATATAGCCTACATGTATAGAATAACATTACAAAAAAAGCATGAAAAAATAAGCTTAAAAACAATGGAGAATAGAGCTAACTCTTCATTATGAATCTAATAGTTTCCCTCCTTTACACATTTGATGATCTAACTTTTATGTTCATTTTCAGTAACTTTTGAATTATCTTCGGCTACATCCTAAACTACCTTTTATTTATTCCTTCCTGTTTAACCTGTTACTTCAGCCCTTATTTATTTTGTCTGCTGATAAAGTTTAGTTTTCTTTTTCTTTAAGAACGTTTTTAGGTGAATAGTTTACCAACAAGGAAAGATTTAGAAAATTCCCACATTTTAAATGTCTCCTTGATATTAGGATTCATTGGGATATACAGTGTAAGTTGCAATATCAAGTCGAACACATCCTTTGAGGTTCAACCTGGTAAAGCCTTGTATACAGCGCCCTCACGTGGATCAATGGATGAAGAACAGCCAATGCACAACAACAAACTATACAGTATTTTTACTTCTGGCCATACTGACTCTGGTCTGAATATTATTATAAATAAAACAAAGCAACCTTACAACTTTAGCTCATTTGGTTTATTCACTCGTTTGTCAAATATGTTCAAGTATTTACATGAGAGGAAAAAAATGTTCCACAAATAAAAACAATACCTCAGGACCTAAAAAGGCACTTTACTTTCTCATTGATTAAAAAAACCAACAATAGCTACGTCACAAACATGAGCTCAATATGCACACTATTACAAAATAGTAGTGTATTAACATGTTTAACAGTCTTATTGTCTCTCATAACCTTTTCATACATATTTCACCAAGTGGCTTATTTTATTGAAAACTGATTTTATCACCATATTTGCTAATCTGTATAAAATATGGCTGCACTCATGTGTGAACTGCTCATGCTAAACTAGATTGTAGACATGAAGTGCAAGCACAGCCGGGTCTGTGCAAAAATCACATGGAAGCACTCTTGGACCTGGCTCTTACTCTGCATAGGCTATACATACTATTATTCTCAGTATGTTAGGCCAATTAGAAATAACTTATCAGGCAGTAGTAGCTCAGTCAGTAGGGACTTGGGTTGGGAACCCCCGGGGCGAAGCCGTTTCAATTCCCGGTGTGGATCTAAAGAGGTGCCTAGTCACTTCCCAAGCACTGCCGTGAGCGAGGCACCGAACCCCCCAACAGCTGTGACGCACTCCCTGCCCCACTCTGAAATCTCTCCACTAATGCATGTCCACAGGTCCTGTTTGTGCATGTGTGTAAATGTCAGGTCTATGTACTGTATGTGAGAGGCACGTCTCTCAATAACAGAATTTCCCTCAGGGATTAGTAGTAGTAGTTGTTGTTGTTGTCCTTGTGGTATCAATACTGCGTAAAACAGTATTTCGGAATTTGGAAAAAACTGATTCCTGCAGAACATGCACCATGTCACAAAGGCCTGTCAGATAGAACATTTAGTGATGGAACCCGATTTTCCCCGACAGAGCATATTTCAACCGCTCCCACTCAGCTGGCTGGTTCCGGGGTTTGCTGCTCCTTTTGCTGTGCAGCTGCTACCAGTCGCTCTCGGCCCCTCTGGAGTGTGAATTCACTGGGCCCCAGTTGGACAATCTTTCCACTACCCAGACACTCCTCTCCTTTGTAGAGCACAGCAAACTGCAGGAAGCGATGGAAAAAAAATGGAGTAAGGAAACATACACATACTCCCACTGTAAGAAAGAGAATCAGTGCATATCATTTCAAAAAGTATTTCACCGCTATGATTGTTGTAACAGAATGACAAAACTGTATACTAGTAGTACACTGTATTCTTGTAACAGAGGTTGTGTTTGCTGTTACCTGTCCTGGTGTCAGAGCTCTGATTGGCTGAGAGAGTGAAATCCACACAGAGCCGTTCATGTTCAGCGTCACTGTGCACGGAGCTGCGAGGCACACGACACGGGTGTTTTATTGTTCAGTAGACAACGCACTGTTTGCATTTCACTTCTTAACGTGTACCGATGGACGGCTGACTCACTGAGTGGCATCTGGTGGATGAAGCGGAAATGACACTCCATCATCTGTGTCCTGACCAGTTCAGGAGGCGGGTCTACTGTCACCCAGTGGAAACGGTCCGTCTTCATTGTGTCGCGGAAAAGAGCCGGGTGAGTGGTGCTCGGCGCCTTGTCGGTCAGACATACAAGCAATAAAGAAAGAGCGACAAGTGTGCTTAAACAATGACCTAAAACACGAAACATCACCGAGCCCCCTTGTGCCTTTCACTTAAGCAATTCACCTTTTTAAGATATGTGATATTTTATGATTATACACAATCTTACAAGATCGTATTATTCAATTTTTTTTCAATGAGTGGAAGCTGCAGGTAGCCTGGGAATTAAGATGAATCTGACAGTTCAGGCATTACTTTATTGTGGTAGTTTATGTATTTCCTGTTCCAACCTGCCATTAAGACACATTTCCAATCAAGCTCAGTCAGGTAAAGCCACTTGTAACCGTATATATCTCATCAGGGAATTTTTATTTAATTATTTGCTGTACTGAGGAGCGCAGCTGAAGCATTCTCGCAAACCATTAATACGATATTTAAGCATATAGAAAAGTGGTATGTGTTGGCTACCAAACCATGAGGTTTATTCTGAACTACAAGCCATCTGAATTGGGCGATAGAACCGCTCTAGCAGTCTACAGCCGAGGCGCGTTTCATTTCTTAGATTGGTTGAAGCCCAATGATTATAAAAACTAGAGGTAAGCTTGATGAATTTACATTGAAAACATAATGAAGAATCTATTGTACATGATTCCAGAGTAGACAGAATACTTTCACTTCAACAACTGAAAATGACTTTCTCACCACAAAGACATCTCCAGTAGCAGTGTCTTTGTCCACCACAAACATGGGGTCCCTGGTGCCTCCTATCCTTGCCCTTTGGCCCAGAGTCAGAGTAAACCAGCCTGAATAGACAGGAGCGCACAGGAAAAGGACCAGAGAAGAGACATTAAGAACACTGTAACACAGTTTGGAAGAGAGATTTTGTAGAGGTACATGTGATAATGTAATAGTGAACATCGGTTCTTCAGCTTGTAACAAAAGATCACTATTTGAGAAGCAATACCTTTATGTTTTCCCATGACGGTCCCGTCTTCAATGGAGACAAAGTTCCCTGGTTTAGGTTCCAGATACTGGAAACAAACAAACCAACAAACAGAAAGTTTTACATGGAAGTCAACCTTAATGAGAGGAAACAAGGAAACTCTGCTCTGAGCCCTAAAATACAAAATGTAATAGGAAATAGTATGATAACAAGGCATTTTGTTAATGTGGACGTTTCATTCTTACCTCCAAAATAAAGTCTTCAAAGTTTCTCTTTCCAATGAAACAGATGCCCATGCTCTGGAGGGGAAAAATGAGTTTACTGCAAGCATGCAATGTGACTAAAAACATGTCATTATTAATGTTGTGTGATGTGATATAAAAATAATTTACATGTCATTTTATGTAGTTTGTGTGGTTACCTCTTTCCTTTTCAGCACATGGTGAAATCCGGCCTCAGCAGCAATCTTTTTGACATACTCTTTGGTCAGTCCGGCTAACGGGAACATGGTTTGTCGCAAGGCATCTTGGGAGATCTGACTGAGGAAGAAGGTTTGGTCTTTGAGGGAGTCTGCTCCTTTGTACAACCTCACCGCTTGGCAGAGGAGAGAGAAGAAATGATTGTTAAAAAGAAAGAGCTAATTAAAAAGCCAGTGATACAATTCCAATACCAGTAAAAAAAAATAAAATGTTTTTTTCAGATAGAGATCAGAGGCACAAAATACTTAAGAAAAGGATGTAAATTCAATTCAATTCAATTCAATCAAAAAAACTTCATTTGTCCCCGGAGGACAATTCAAAGGCACACAGAGAAGTAAATTAACAACAGTGCAAGTAACAAAACATTTTAACCGAAATAGAAAGACAGAAAAAGAAATAGAAATTGAGGTTACATTTAAATTGTTCAAAAGCGAGATTAAAGTCAAACTCTTACGATTTCTAATCTCAAATCGATCCCTGAAGAGAGTGGCAGGCAAAGCCGCGGGCATCTGTTGGAACACCTCTTCGTCTTCCTGCGACGTCCTTGCATAATGGCCCGTTGCCATGGCATCAGCACCTTAGTCAAAAGCAGCACAACACCTATTACAAGACCTTTTCTACTGTGTGTGTGTCCCCGCCCCGCCATACATTCTGGCTAAAGAGATGCTGAGACTACATACCCAGAGTGTTGATAGCGTACTTGTAGAAATGATTGAATTTGATGTGCTTGTTGCAGAGAATATCTGGATTTGGTGTCCTGCCCTTCTCATACTCCTTCAGTAGATTGCTGAAAGTGGATCAACATGATTTATATTTTGGTTAAGGAATCAAACGAAAGGATTGTGGGTTTTTTTTTTTACTAATGCAACAAAAAGCAAACTAACATTACCTGAAAACGTCATGCCAGTACTCTTTGACATAGGACACTTGATGGAAGGGGATGTTCAGGATCTGACACACTTTGTAGGCGTCTTCACAGTCTTCCTCTGCAGTGCAAACCCCTTTTTCATCCAGGGAGTCCCA